GGGGCGTGGCCTGGGGCCCGAGACGGGGACTCCGCTGCCCTCCGCTCACCCTCCGCGGGCGTCACGGAACAGACGCGCCGCCCGCCGCCAATCGCCCCGCCCGGCTTCGGAGGGCAGCGCGGCCTGGGGAGCCCTCCAGGGCCCCACAGTACCTCTCACCTCTCCAGCCCCCCAACGCCCCCCCCCCACTATCCCAGGACCCCCTTTTTTCAACCCCCCCTTTTTTAGGAGCACCCTCCCCCCCCCTCATTTTTTTCAAGGGGCCCATCCCTTCACCTGATAGAAAGCCGTGAAAAGACGTGTTGACCCTCTTCTCGCCCGAGAAGCCCAGCATCCCGCAGACCACGTGGCTGTTGTGAGCGCTCCAGCCTTGGTCACACACTCTGGACCAGCCGCCGGGAAGCCGGACTTCCACCAGCCCCTCGGTCACGGGCAGGGGCCGCCGGCCCCGCCCAACGGCTGGCTGGAGCCGCACCTCCTCCACTTGCAGGTGATGCTCTACCTGAGGATGGATGGGACCACAAGCAGAGGAAGGCACCCCAGTAGCACCTTTCACACGTCCTGCCACCTTGAAGGAACCCCGACCGAGTGTGCTTCCTGCAGACCCAACGGGGAGCAGGGGCTGAGAGAGATGCCTGCCTCCCGCAGTGGGTATGGAGGGGTGTGTGGGGTGGACGGACATGCGGTGCTGTGCCCCGAGGGTGCTGAGGAAGGAGCACCCGGAGCACCCGCAGGAGCAGGAGGAGCACTTTATGAGGAAGTGGCATTGAAGGAGGGGCAAGTAAGGAGTGAGATGTTCTAGGAGGAGCACAGGTTTCCCTGGGGACAGGGAGGAGGTTGGAGAGGTTCCTGCCAGTTTAATGCAGGAGCAAATCTGGAACTTACATCCTGGAGCTCTACCCCTTGCCCCACCCACACCAACCCCCAGCTCCTAACAACCCAAACTACCCCATGGGGCCTATGGAACCCCCTACCTTCTAGTGTCTCCTCTAACCACACATAACACCCCACAGTCCTCCCTGTCCGGCCAACCTGGCTGGTGTGTGTGTGTGTGTGTGTGTGTTTGTGTGTGTGTGTGAACTGCAGACCTCGATGACATTGGAGTCGGAGAAGCCAGGGAGGCGCTGGTCCTTGCAGATGACCCCAGCATCCTCATCGTGGGTGCAGTCACTGTTCCCCCAGCCCCTCGAGGTGCATTCGGCCACACTCCGCTCGGTCCCACTGCAGCTCAGGTTGTCCAGCCAGATGCGGCCTGTGGAGGGAGAGATAGGGGACAGAGAAGTGTGGGGAGGTAGGGTGGGGAGAGCGAACATGGAGGCCTCACTCTTGGCTATAATGATCCCATTTTTTTTCTGATAAGATAATGGGTGGGGAAGGGACAGGGGACCCTGGAGGGAATAAAAAAAAGAGGCATAGGATCGATGGAGGGCTGGTGGTGGTCTGGGGATACTCAGGAATTTGGTACGGTAAATAAAAAACCAAGAGTCAACCTTGAAATTCTGCTTGGTTCTTACCCACTCAACGACAGCCAGAGTTAACCAAGCACCTCTTGTGTTAGGCACGCTGCCGTGGTGTGTACATACATGACCATGCTTAGAACAGAGCGGCCAGAAGTATTATCACCACTTCATATTAAAAAACCAATGGGGGTTCAGAAAAGTTAAGTAACTTGCCTGAGACCACGTAGCCCATGGAGGCTAAGGAGTTCGAGCCATTGGCGAGACTTGGAAATCTGAGACTTTCACCGGAGCCTCCCATGTGCCCGCCCTGTCTGTGCTTCCGCATTGCCCCTTGTTCTGTTCTCTGCCCGGACCTCACTGAACTGAGTGTCGCTGCCTTCCTCTCAGAATTGGGGGGCCCCTCAAAGGTTGTCTGTCCCAGCCATTGTGTAGGGATCCTCGATGCCTATTCTGACAGGACTTCCCAGCTTCTGCTGGGACACTGACCTCCTGCCCGCCCAGGCGGCCAGAGCCATTACACAGTCCTTGTGATTCTTTATGACTTTCCCCTACCAGGTCTGATTCAGTCCTTTGATGCCATCCAAAAAAATCCCGCAGCCACATGACTGTCCTCATATTTGAAGACATCCGTCATGTAGCTGCTATCCAAGTTTTCCCTTCGATCAGAAATCCCTGGTTTCTTCAGCGACTACTCCTTGAAAGTTGGCTTCAAATCTTCCACATCTGGGCAGCTATCCTCTGAAAATATTTCTATTTTCTACCACCTCTCTTAAAATGTGGCACTTACAAGTGACACTTTATTCCAGAAGTGGCCTGGCTGGTGGGAATTGGGGTATCAGCTGCAGACTGCACCAGCTTCTATCCCTCCAACTGTGGGCTCATACAGTGCAAGCATCCCCAGGCCTCAGTTGGAATTGCTCCTAAACATTCATGCTTGCCCTAGTCAATTCCAGCTTGGTTTCAGCTCTGGCCTATAACGTGTCAGCTGCAGGATTTATGATCCTGACTGGCTTTGGGACATCCAGACATCATTTACCTGCTCTCAGCTTCCCGCAAAGCAACCGTACTTGAACCGTACAGGGCTCACTTGATCAGGGCTGTGCTCGTACATGGCTTTGGAGAATCATACTCTGAAAGGAACTTAGGTATCATCTAGTCTTGTTGCTCATGGGACATCAGAAGCTCAGAGGAGGCACTGATCAGCGTAAGATCACACAGCTCTGAGAAGTGACTATGTTGGCTGGTTTGTCACTCATGGCTTAACCTGACTATTTATTCTAGTGCCCTGTGGTCCTGTGGCTGTGCCATCCTGCTGTTCTCTCCCTGCACTGAGGCCACACTGGGGCAATACCGAGGCTATACCTGGCGCTCACCTGTTCCAGGGCCGTATTTGGCGCTGTGGGTCCAGCCTGTGGCCTCTGTGAAGCCCAGCTCCCGGCAGAGGACATGGGCTGCCTGTAGCGTGAAGTCATCATCACAGATGGTGCCCCATTCGCAGGCTCGCTGTATCTCCACTCGGCCTTTCGAAAGGGCTTCCTGGGGAAGCCAGCCACCCGGAATCCGCAGCCCCTGGGCTTCCAGCCCTCTTTCTCAGGGGCCCGTGGACGGGGGATGGGAGATCTCCAGGATTGAGCTGAAACACAGGGCACAGCAGCAGTCCCCCATGGAGCTCCACCGCCCGGACATTGATAAGGTCCATGGCTAAAAAGGCTTTGGCAAAAGAGATATACACTGAAGACGAGGAGGGTGCTATGATGGACCAGCAATGAGACTGGCCGCAGTGCTATATATA